GACCACAAGACAAAGTTTCTTCTCATCACATCATATGAAAAGTACATACTATCAACACAACTTGTCACTACAGGTATTGCCCTTGATCATCTGACTGAGATTGTACTTCTCAATTTTCTTCACTGTAAAATAAGTCTTTTTTCCTCCTTTCTACTATACTTTACTCTTTGGAAGAAAATCACTATGGGGAGCCCTCACTGATTGAGAATTTATGGTCTACCTCCTTGTATGTAGGGTGTTCTGTTAATTTACTTTTTCTCCATTTTCTCTCAGATTATGTAATTTCTATTGTCCTATGTTCAGTTCATTCTTCTTCATCTCAGTTTCTCCATTCTGCTCTTAAGCCCATCCATTGCTTTATTCTTTTGTTTGTTTATATTTTGATTATTGCTAAATTTCCCTTGAGTTTGTTCTTTATATCTCCTAATTCTTGGCTGCAATTTTCTTTCTTTTTAATTTTTTTCAAGTGTGTTCATGATTGCTTTTTGAAGAATTTTTATGATGACTGCTTTAAAATATTTGTCAGAATATCCTAACATCTCTGTCATCTTACTGTTGGCATCTATTCTTCTTTTTTTATTCAAGATGAGACTTTCCTAGTTCCATGTATGGTTAGTGATTTTTTTTTTTTTCTTTCATTATATCTGGGTATTTAGAGTATTATAACACTCTGGACTTCATTTAAACCTTCTGTTTTAGCTGGCTTTTCTTTTTTTTCATTTTGACATCCCTCTATTAGGAGAGTAAGGGTGTTACTGCCTTGTTACATCCAGGTGGAGGTAGAAGTAAAGTTTCCCATTCTGTCTCCACAAGAGAAGTGGCCCTTTGCTACTGCTGGCTGATAGTGAGAGTTCTGACTCTTTGCTAAACCTTCACTGATATCTCCTAGACTTGGAATAGTAGGAATTCCTGATTCTTGCTACCTATATGGCCTCCAGTGACTCCATGGGAGTGAAGTCCTGGCTCCCTGCTTGGTCTTCCTTGATCCTCCCAAAAAGGGATTGAGGGAGTTGGGCATTGTATAAAAGGGTCTAGGGTCCTCACTCAGCCTTTGCTGGCATGAGTGGGGTTGGGTCAAAGTTTTCTTCTATAATGTTTTTCTGGAGGAAGGTAGTTATTTTCTAAAAGTTTTCTGTATTTCTAGACTTCCTCTTTCCTAGTCCTATGGATACAGGCATCATATGCTCCTTCTATCCTTCCTTCCTCCCTGCCTCTCTGTCTTCTTTCTTTCTTTCTCTTCCCTTCCCTTTTCTCCTCCTCCCTCCATCCTCCCACCTGCCCCTCTCTCTTTCTTCTTTCTCCCCCTGCCACTGGCATTTCTGAATTGTTGGCTCCTTCCCCTCCAAGTCCAGTGTGTGTGTGTGTGTGTGTGTGTGTGTATCTATATCTATATATAGATATAGATACACACACACACACACACACATATATATAAATATGAAAGAAAACCCAGGGAACTTATAACCAGATCATTTCTTGAGTATCTGGCTAGTATGTCTTCTTCATTCTGATTCTTAGAATTTTATTTGTTGCATGAATACTTTCAGTAGCTCTTTACAGCCTAATATAGAGGTAGAAAAAAAAAATCATCAAGAGTATAATTGACTTACTTTTCTTTTTCATAATAGTATTCTCTTTTTTATTCACTTTGATTATTTAGCCATTTTAGACATGCTCACTTCATAATCTTTATACATTTACTATTTACTCAAATCAAGTGAGGAAGGGGAGGTTAGTCTACCATTTATTCAGCCTGCTAACTCTTGCTCATTGTAGATAGACTTCATGTTTTTTTTTGTTTGTTTGTTTGTTTTGTTTTGTTTATTGGTTTGTTTTTAAATTAATTGTGCACTCAAATCTAGCAGGACTTTGTGTGTCAAAATCCTGTGTGGCCAGTGCTAAGGGTGTGGCTCACCAGAGAGGTTTTGTCTTTAGTATTCTAAATACCCCAAAAATGTCATTGCTCTCTGGAGTAAACTGTATTTTGTATTAAATTTTTCAGATTTAAACTGTTCTACTTATGCAGAGAGTATAAATCCAAACTCTGAAAGCATATATGGGCAATCCCATGGGTATAATTTCCAAGAATAAACAATTTTTCTTCCCTTAGACAAGGACAATTAGAATATATTTTTGGACTTCTTGTGCTACTCAGAACATTCTTCTAAATCACACTTTCACTGAAGGAAGAGTATACAATGATCTCAGGCCCAAGGGATCTAATTCTACTTCACATTCTTGCTGGATAAAATTTCCATGTAAGGGACTTCAGTTATTTTGCTTGCTTGAAATCCCTTCCCATCACTAATCTTCTCCCAAATCTTCTACTCTTTCAAATGCTGTGAGATCAATTGTTTGTTTCAAAGACTGCTTCTGGAATTCATAAATATTTTTAACAAAGGATCTTTGATATTTTAAATTTCAACATTGTCAGTATAGAAGCAAAATATTTTTCTAATCTATAGATATCTTTCAGAAGGAAGGTTGGACAATCTACTTCTGTAATGATACCACCTCGCAAACCCAAGGAGGGGTCGCTATGAGTTGGGGCCGACTCGACAGCACATAACAACAACAACAACATAGATATCTTTTGAGGATAAATTGACATAATGTACAAAGATATAATTTGAAACTATTAAATATAAGTTTGACTTAATTTTCATAATCACATGACACAGTGCCATACTAGTTATTATTTTTTAAATTCTATTTAAGAAAAGAATCAGAGGGGTCTTGCAGAATGGAGAAATTATAAAAGAGAGAAGTGTGTTAAACTTTAAGATGCTGTTGATATTCAATCCCATTCCACACCATTTCAAAAGCAAAACTTCACTTGGGGTTTGTCTTTCTCTTTCAAACACTAGCCATCAGAAGGTCAAAATGTTGGTCTCAAATTAGAATGTGATACCAGTTAAATGATGATTCATAAAAAAATATTGCAAATCAAATATTTGAAAACTTTAAATATATTGTTTAAATATAGTCCATTAATTTAATATTTTATACTTTTTAATATTTATCAAGTTGAGTGATAGAAACATGAATTTTATAAAAGTATTAATGTATAGGGAAGGAAAAACATTATGTTATTAACAGTAATTTTATTCCAAATCAAATAAGAATTATTTTAGAAGCAATAGATGAGGAATTAATTATCCTTTTTTTAAGGTAATTTGATTTTGGTTACAAAACAATTGCTATCAAAACAATGAAATTATGTTATATAGTATTTCATGTTGTTGTTGTTGTTAAGTGCCGTCGAGTCGTTTCCGACTCATAGCGACCCCATGCACAGCAGAACGAAACACTGCCCGATCCCGCACCAGCCCCACAATCCCTGCTATACTCGAGCCCATCATCGCAGCCACTGTATCAATCCATCTCGTTGAAGGCCTCCCCCTCTTTCGTGGACCCTCCACCCTACCAAGCATGACATCCTTCTCCAGGGAATGGTCCCTTCTTACAACATGACCAAAATAGGTGAGACGAAGTCTGGCCATTCTTGCTTCCAAGGAGCATTCTGGCTGCACTTCCTCCAGGACAGATCTGTTAGTTCTTTTAGCAGTCCATGGTACTTTCAGCATTCTTCGCCAGCACCACAACTCAAAAGCATCAACTCTTCTTTGGTCTTCCTTATTCATTGTCCAGCTCTCACATGCATACAAGGTGATTGGAAATATCATGGCTTGTGTCAGGCGCACCTTAGTCCTCAAGGAGATATCCTTATTTCATACATAATAGTAATTCACAAAGAAAAATGAAAATTTCTTATGAAAAGTCAAAACAATGGTCTTATACATTTTGAGAGCTATGAAAAATACATGTCCTCACTCACGTTTTATTGAGTGGTGTCTTAGGCTGGGTTCTCTAGAGAAGGAAAACCAGTGACACTTACATATGAAGATGGCCAGATAGATAGATAGAGAGAGAGAGATTTATCTCAAAAAAGTGGCTCATTGGTTGTAAGAGCTTTTGCAAGTTCTGAGCTAGCAGGTCAGTCATCAGGCTGGAAGCTGCATCTGTCTCATGTAGCTGCAGGGGCTGGCAAACCCAAGATCAGCAGGTCAGATGGAAAGCTGCTTGCTCATGGGCTGTGGCAGGTGACAAATTCAAGAACAACAGGTAAATTTCTAGCTGCTGGCTCACAGCCTATTTGGGCTAACGAATCCAAAGATCAGCAGTCAATATGGCAAGCCATAGCTTCAAATCCAAATGACTGGAGGTTGTATGATGATGGGCCAGATGTGGGATCCATATTGAGCAAAAAGCCACAGAGCTTGTCCAGGTCATCCATACATACTGGAAGCAGGCCACACCACTAAGAAAGTTTCCTTTCATCTTATTGGCTGCTCATAGGAGATGTCATCATGGAAGCGATTACATTATATCAGAGTCCATCATGGGGATGATTACATCATAACTGCTAAACTACTGAGAATCATGGCTCAGCCAAGTTGACATACAACCTTAACTATCACTGGTGGTATAGATTAGAAGACAGGACTTAGAGATCAGTAAAAGATTACATAGAACAAAGGCATATATTACACTGCGTTGTTGCAAAAAAAAAAAAAAAAAAAAAACTTCTATTTATATATAGACAGATAACCATTTTTGTGTGTAATCATTGAACCACTAACTTTATGTTGAAATTCTAAAATTCAATTTAATACACAAAGAAACATTAATGGTAGACACATATTTTGGTATTCATAGCTTGGTTAAATATGCTACATTTACATTGTTAAGTACATAAAACTGTTAGGTTTTAAGTTCAGTGATGGGTACTCCAAAGCTATTATTATTTTAATCCTTAACTTTGGAGAGTTTGAAGTTAGAATTAACATTGAAAGAAATACCATTTTTATATGAACAATAAATTGTTTTAATCTATTTCATTTCTTAGTTGAAATATAAACATTTTGACCCAAAAAGAATATAATTGTGTGCCTTTATTATGGTTGTCATTATCATAAGGGAAAAAAAAAAAAAAACTGTTAAGTACTTACTTTTTGTTTCCTCATTTTCTGCATTGCTGATATTACCTCCTTATTTCTTAACGTGTAGATCAAGGGATTTAAAAGAGGAGTGAAAACAGTATAGAATACTGAGAAAACCTTATCCAGTGGGAAGTTGTTAAAAGGCCAGGCATAGATGAAGATGCTGGGCCCAAAGAAGAGGATCACCACCGTGACGTGGGCAGTCAGGGTGGCCCGGGCCTTAGTCATGCCCACTGAGGATCTACGTCGCATGGTGACCAGGATGACTGTGTAGGAGATGAGCACAAGCAGAAAGGCACTCATAGCCATTAGATCACAGTTTGAAAGCATCAGTATCTTAAGGATATAGGTATCAGTGCAGGCAAGTTTAACAACCAAGGGAAGGTCACAGAAAAAGCTGTCCACGTTATTTGGACCACAGAATGGAAGATCTACTATGAAAAACCACTGGCTTAGTGAATGCAAGAGGCCCATCAGCCAGGAGCCCATCACAAGGCTTATGCACTTGCGTATACTCATGATGACTGCATAGTGCAGGGGTTGACATATGGCTACATACCTGTCATATGCCATAGCCACAAGCAGCATCATTTCAGCACCAGCAAAGACATGTAGAATGAATATTTGGGCCATGCATCCCTCAAAGGAGATGGTCTTAAGCTCCGTGAGGAAGTCAACTATCATTTTGGGAGTGGCAAAAGTGGATAGACACATATCAATGAAGGAGAGGTTGCTGAGCAGGAAGTACATGGGTGTGTGGAGCGCAGGTTCAGAGAGGACTGTGAGCACAATGAGGAGGTTTCCCAGCACAATGGATAAATAGAAAAGTGTGAAAAACACAAAATAGAACAGTTGTGCCTCTCGAGGACCTGAAAGACTGTGTAACACAAATTCAGTCACTCTTGAGGTATTTCCTTGGTCCATGATTTCAAGTTTCTAAAATAAGATCAGAAAGTTTCCTGTAAAGTGAAATGAAAATGAAAATAATGTTATATGATTGTGGTAGTCAGCAAAGCCAAGCCTGGTACCAAATCTTATTCCATAAACATTTGTGGGAGCTTTTGTGGTATAGTGTCTAAGGCATGTGACTGCTAACCAGAAGGCTAGTGGTTCATAATGTAGTGGTACTGCCATGGAAACCCAAGGAGAGGTCACTATGAGTTGGATCTGACTCCACGGCATTGAGTTGTTTTTTTGTTTTGTTTTGTTTTGTTTTTAAGTATTTATGCACTTTAGATCTTCATATTCTTGTTGGTTAGTGCCATTGGGAATATTCTGACTCAATCGACCTTATGAGACAAAGTAGAACTTCCTGATAAGGTTTAATAGGTAGTAATCTTTACCAAAGCAGATCACTAGGTCCTTTCTTCTCTGGAGGGTTCACACCACTGACCTTTCAGTTAACAGCTGAATGCCTAACCATGACTCCACTAGGGCTCCTTAGACCCTCAGGAGCATGGAAATGCACAATGGTATCTTTTGTAGTGATTATATATACAATGGCATTCACCTCTGCATTACAGCATGAAAGCTATATTCTGAAAACACTATTTTTATACCTCCTTCCACCACTTTAAAATATCTAATAAATAACACAGTGAAACTCTAGAGGCAAACTGATATCAAAGTTTGAAATTCTATCTCTTATAATTTCTACCAGCATAATTTTGGGTAAGTTAATTTGGCAGCATAGAGCCTAAGGCATCTGATTGCTAATCAGATGGCTGCCAGTTCAAACGGAAATCTACTTCCATAGTGATACCTCCTCCGAAACTCAAGGAGGGGTGGCTACAAGTCAGATGCGACTCCATGGCAGTGAGTTTGGTTTGAGTTTTTGGAGCCTCAGGTTTTTTTGTTTGTTTGTTTGCTTGTTTTTATGTTAACATGGTTTTAGGCATAAAATGAAAAAAGAATAAAGGCTATCTGAACAAAATCAGATGATTTTAGGAAGCTACAGAAAAAAAATGTAGTATTAGAGACACATGAAGTTCTATATTTGAGGAGGAAAAAATAAAATAAATATGGATTAGGAAAGTGTTAGTTTGAATTTTTATTATTTATATATTTACAACCTGAGTAAGTCTATAAATAGCTGTAATCTAAGTAAAAATTTTCTGCTTTGTCATAAAGTATCCCACTTCTGACAAAGTGATACTTTTTTTAGAGTACAGGTATTTTGATGTAAAATATGTGGGGGGAAAAATACAGATGGGATTTTGTGCTGGAACTAGATTTTAAATTACTAGAATTATTTTAGAATATAGGACAACATAGCCTTCTTAGTTTAAATATTAAGATTATGAACCTAATTCTTCATGTAATCAAATTCATAAAATTTATTTTGTAGAATAGTGTGTGAAACATACTGTCACCACTTTTATGTATGAGAGTGTAGACTCTAATTAAGAAATGTAAGTAGTGAGATATTTCAAAGACACTGTAACAAATATTAAAAAAATCAGTTTTTGTATCTAGAAATTTGGGGAATAATTATATATGTCTCATAGGATTTTTGTGAGAATTAAAGGTTATAAAAGGTGAAAGACTGGGAGAGGGCCTGTTCCTTAGTACATATTCAATAGATATTAGGTACTATGCCTTTTTTTCCATAGCCAAACCAAAAATCAAACCATTGCCATCAAGTTAATTCTGACTCAGTGATCCCCACTTGGGTTTCCGAGGCTGTAAATCTTTACAGAAGCAAACTGACTCATCTTTCTTGTGCAGAGTGACTGGTGATTCAAACCACTGACCTTTTTCAGTTAGCAGCCAAATTTCTTAACCACTATATCACCCAAGCTCCTTTATGAAAACACTTCTGTATAAAATTTAATATGTAAGACCCAATTACTATTTAATACAACAAAATGTTCTGTGCAGTTTAGTGGCATCTATTTTCATTCAAGTATGTTAGTATTTGAGTTAATATAATAACAAATGTCATATTTTATCTTTTTATTAAACAGTTCTGAATTTAGACTACTTGTAAAGTTATTATGACCCTTCTCCCAGTGATTCAGAATTTAAGTGAATTTAATATGTAATGTTCAGGATGAAGTAAAAAAAAAAAAGTTGCTGATATGATTTCACAAATATAAAGAGTATTATTAATAATTTATTCATATTCCTACCGTTCATTTGCTGGGATAATTACACGTACCCTGTTTTGGATTCTACCTATCAAGATAGTGTTACATTTTCTGGAGAGAAATTTCAAAAAGTCTGACTTGGGAAAGAGGTAAATCATTGCATCTAGCACTGTTTGTGGAAGAGAAGACAGGACGTCACTGTAGGGCAGTAAGATGCTTTCCCTAGGTTCCCTAGGTGGTGCAGTGGTTAAGCACTTGACTGCCAGCTCAAAGGTTGACAGTTTGGACGCACCCCAGGGCCTGGTGATCTGCTTCTAAAAGGTCATAACCTTGGAAACCCCACGAAACAGTTCCACTCTGCAAATGTGGGGTGTCCATGAGTGGGAACTGACTCAACAACAGCTAACTACAGCAACAAAGATGTTTCTTCATCTTGGGCACAATATTCAAGATGGTCAAGTCTACCTTTAGTTCCTCTGTCTCTGTCTCTACTTTGCTTTGTTCACAAAGTCAGATAATATCTCCCCTTTCATCTGTTCCACTTTAAAATTCCAAGGTCATCATTCCCCTCTCCAGACAGCTGGTGGTGATACCTGTGGTCAGACAAATTAAATATTGTTAACTGTTCAGAACTGTTTCTACACTTGGAGCTAAAGAAAGGTACAACAGGGGCTGAAACGGTTTCCTAAAATCACCTCAGTAGAGATCTCTTTTAAATGTTGCAACAGTGTGTAGAAACATAGAAAACCCTATACTAGCCTAGCCAATGTTAACAATGGTTATCTCTGGGTGAAATCATTTTATTCTTTATGCATTGTTTTTCCTGAAGTATTTGTTTCTCTTCAGTGAACATGTATTGTCTTTTTAATCAAGGAGCCCTACTGACGCAGTGATTAAGCACTGGGCTGCTAACTGAGAGACTGGCATTTTGAACCCACCAGCTGTTCTGCAGAAGAAATGCCCTGAAGATCTGCTTTTGTAAAGAGTAAAGCCTAGAAAGCCCTATGTGGCATTTATACTCTGTCTTATAAGGTTGCTACACCACAACAGTTGACCATTGAGTCCACTGGGACTCATGGCAACCTCCGTTTGGTTTTCAAGAGAGTAAATCTTTATGGAAGTAGATTGCCTCATCTTCCTTCCTTATATGGCTTGTTTGAACTGCCAACCTCCTCTTAGCAGTCAAATGCTTAGGAATGCACCACCAGAGCTCGTTATAAAGTCACTAGAAGTCGGAAATCTATTCAATGAACAGAACACATGCTTTTCATCATAAATAAATAAGTAAAGCTTTTTTGAATTAGTAAAGTTTTTTTTTCCCCCATTTTAGGCAAATCAAGTAAGTTTAGTGAAGAAGGACAAAGGGAAATATTAACCACAAGGAAGAAGTGGGAAAATGCTGTTACTTTGTAGCAATTGCAATCAAGGCCACAAAACAAAACATGGATGAACTGTTACATGGAAAACCAATTTGCTCTTTGAACTTTCATCCAAATCAAAATAAAATGTTTTAAAATATAAATACAAACCAAAAATTACTTAATAGTATAAAATTCAAAATTATTTTTAATTAGAATACATAGAGATAATAACTACATATGTAATACATATAATATATGAAGTTAATGTATGTGTTTGTTGTAAGTAAATGAATAAAACCAAACCTACTGCCATTGAGTTGACCATATATGAGAAAGAATTGCCCTATGTGGTTTACATGGTGATAAATCTTGACAGAAACAGTCTGTCTTATCTTTTCTCCCACACAGTGCTCATCTTTTGGTTATCAGCTGAATGCTTTAACCACAATGCCACCAGGGCTCCTGTTCTAATGAAAGGTGTATATATATATATATATATATATATATATATATACACATAGAGAGAGAGAGTAGGAATAGGTAAGGGGAGGGTGCAGAGGTTTCCAGCAGGTAAGGGAGACAAACTTGCCGGTCAGTTTGTCATCATGTGGGGCTTGAATGTTGCTGTGACGCTTGTGGCTCTGCCACTGGTGTTTCAGACATCAGCAGAGTTGCACGTGGTGCACAGGTTTCAATGCAGCTTACAGACTAAGACAGACTAAGAAGAAGGAGGAGATCACCCACTTCTCAAAAATTGTCCAGGGAAAACGTTATGAATAGCAGAGAAACACTGTCTGATACATTACTGGGCAACTTTATGAATAGCTCGGAAACATTGTCCAACATCGTGCAGGAAGATGAGCCCCTTGGGTCGGAAGGCACTCGAAATAGGACTGGGGAAGAGCTGCCTCATCAGAGTAGGACAACCTTACCAATATAGATAAAGTAAGTCTTTCAAGCCCTCCATGTGCTGACATAGCACGACTCAAATTGAAGAGAAACAGCTGCAGACATCCATTAATAATCAGAACATGGAATGTACAAAGTATGAATCTAGGAAAATTGAAAGTTGTCAAAAATGAAATAGAACGCATAAAGATTGATATCCTAGGCATTAGTGAGCTGAAATGGATGGGTTTTGGGCATTTTGAATCAGACAACCATATGATCTACTATGCCAGGAATGACAAAGAGGAATGGCATGGCATTCATCATCACAAAGGATGTTTCAAGATCTGTCCTAAAGTACAGTGCTGTCAGTGATAGAATAATATCCATATGCCTACAAGGAAGACCCATTAATACTACTATTAATTCAAATTTATGCACCAACCACCAAAGCCAAAGATGAGGAAATTGAAGATTTTTATCAACTTCTGCAGTCTGAAATTGACCGAACATGCAATCAGGATGTGTTAATTATCACTGGTGACTGGAATGCAAAAGTTGGAAACAAAGAAGAATCACCCGTAGT